TATGTTCTATGCCAAGGGTCTTCAAACTTGGCAAGTTTAAGACTTGCGGACTTCAACTCCCAGAATTCCTGAGTTAACATGACTGGAGGAGGAATTCTGGGAGTTGAAGTCCACAAGTCTTAAAGCTGTCAAGTTTGGAGACCCCTGGATAAGGGAACATGCTTTCTCTCCGTACCCTTGGGTCAAACCCTCAACTTCCTGAAGCTGGATGATAGGACACCAAACAATCCCAGCCATCCCCCGAAACTCCTTCCCCAGAGCTCAGGGTCCTGAAATAACTGCAAAAGACCCACTCTTATGGTGTTAACATCTACCTGCCACAGTGTAAATTGCAGTGATGACCAGCAAACCAATGACTGCTATGTAGAGGTCCCAGTGCAAGGCCTGTTGGATGAAGAGAGCCCCAGCATACATGTCAACCTGCAGAAGAGAGAAGAAATGTCTAACATTGAAATCTCGCTAACTATCTTGCCTGGGCTGACTCCAATTAGAAGACAGTTGGACAAATGTTGTGTTGTATTCCCTACACTAATGGTGGCGCTTGGGTATATAGATCGATAGCAGTCTATCTTAGAATCCAAGGGCTGGCCTGGAAGGGACCTTTGAGGTCTTCTAGTCAACCCCCCTCTCAAGGCAGGAGATCTTATTGCAACCCAAAGAAATGAATGTCCGATCTTTTTTTTGAAGGCCTCCAGTTGTGGAACACCCACAACTCCAAGTTGTTCCATTGATTAATTGTTCTCACTGTTACGAAATTTCTCCTTATTTCCAGGCTGGATCTCCCTCTCATGTGGCAAACCCATTGCTTCTTGTCCTGTCTCTATCCTGCCATGAGCACAATGTGGTTGAAAGCAGATGTCCTTGTCTGCTACATGCACTTTAATGACTATTTTCTCCAAAGGAAAATGGCTGCTTTTGGCCCTGCCCTAAGAGCCTGGATAGGAAGAATTAGGTGTTCCAGGCCAAGGGCTTAAAGCAGGGGTCCCCAAACTTGTCAACTTTAAGACTTGTGGACTTCAACTCCCAGAATTCTCCAGCCAGCATAGCTGAAGTCCACAAGTCTTAAAGTTGACAAGTTTGAAGGCCTCTGGCTTAAAGCCTAAATAATTACTCTTCTCAATTATTGTCTAAAAGGGTATGTTATGTTTGATCTTTGTTTCAAGCACAGTAATTATAAATTGGCTGGTCAATATTTGAACTATTGATTGAGATGTCCTCCTTCTCTTTTTCTGCTTCAGTCTGGCTTTTGCAAATTATAAAGCTAAATATCTAAACATACCTTACATTTGAAAAGAGTATAATACTTCCTAGCACATATGTGCTAGTTGTTTATGGCTCTAGGAGGTAGTGCTCATCTCTGTTGCAAAGTCGAAGAGCCAGCGCTGTCCGAAGACGTCTCCGTGGTCATGTGGCCAGCATGACTAAACGCCGAAGGTGCATGGAACGCTGTTACCTTCCCACCAAAGGGGTCCCTATTTTTCTACTTGCATTTTTTAAACATGCTTTCGAAGTGCTAGGTTGGCAGCAGTTGGGACAAGTAATGGGAGCTCACCCTGTTACGTGGCTCTAGGGATTCAAACCACTAAACTGCTGACCTTTCTGATCGACAAGCTCAGTGTCTTAGCTACTGAGCCACCATGTCCCGATAATACTTCCTATTAAAGGTAAAAGGTAAAGGAATCCCTGTGGATTTTACTCCACTAGCTGTTGCCTACTCTAAGGGATAGTACTAATTTTCATTTGAAGACCATTGAGCCAGTGCTGTCCAAAGACATTTCCATGGTCATGTGGCCGGCATGATGTCACGGAGCACTGTTTCCTCCCCACCAAAGTGGTACCTATTAATCTACTTGCATTTGAATGTTTTCGAACTGCTAGATTGACAGGAGCTATGGGGAGGATGGGCGCTCACCAGTGGTGGGATTCAATTTTTTTTACTACCGGTTCTGTGGGCGTGGCTTGGTAGGCATGACGTGGCTGGGTGGGCGTGGCAGGGGAAGGTTACTGCAAAATCCCATTCCCTCCCCACCCCACTAACCTGCTTTCCAGCTCCGTTCTCCTGTGCAGGGCAACCAAAGGAGACCCAGCCGATCAGCTGGGACTCAATGGGAGGCGGAGAATAGATGGGGTTGGCAGAGCCAGTCAGAGGTGGGATTTTCTGGTTCTCCAGAAGTACTCAAAATTTCCGCTACCGGTTCTCCAGAACCGGTCAGAATCTGCTGAATACCACCTCTGGAGCTCACCCTTGTCACATGGCACCCAGATCTCAAACCTGGGCTGCTGGCTGACAAGCCCACTATCTTAACCACTGAGCCCCCATACCACCCAAACTTCCTATTAAGCTTTTGAATACTTCTGAATTGATTGCCATTATTACCAAATCTAAACCATATTTCTATACTGATTGATTTAGGAGTGGCTTAAGCATTTGAGCCTGTTTTTTTTCTTTTACATCTCAACTAACATAGATTGACACAGAAAGTAAAACGAAGAAATGTTGAGATTCCTTGGTACATAAGTTGCAAACAATAAATTACAAGAAAAAACGTCCACTTATTCAGTGTCCCATTATTTCCAAGCTGGAACTAAGAATGTGTGTGGGTGCATATTCAACAGTACAAAACCGGCACAAAATATTGCCATTGTTTGGATGAAGGCTAAATGGCTTTAGATGTTTCCTTTGAAGCTGATTGGAAATGTCTTAAACTCTTAACTATGTGACTATAACATATAGTCAAAGTGGGGCAAAGCCATTGAAGAGAACTATTTGAGGACATGGCAGCTGTGCCCACTGAACAATGTACAAAATTGGTCAAGCAGAACTAATAAAGAGCAGTTCAGAATTTTGGCACAGTCTTGGGGCAAATGTAACCACTCTGATTTGGGGGGTAAAAATGTTTGCCATCCTAGGGTAACCCAGCTCTCCCCCTTCAGTGGGTTTGTAGCTATTTTCCCTTTTCTGTGATGTGGTGACCAGTTTTATATCCCAGGTCACCACATTACCCCCCACCCCCCAAATAATGATGAGGCTTTGGAAAAAGTGCAGAGAAAGAAGAGCAACTAAGATGATTGAAAGCCTGGAGACTAAAACATGAAGAACAATTGCAGACATTGGGCATGGCTAGTCTAGAGAAAAGAAGGAGTAGGGGTGACATGACAGCAGTATCTCAGTACTTGAGGGGTTGCCACCAAGAAAAGGGGGTCAAGCTATTCTCAAAAGCACCAGAGGGCAGGACAAGAAACAATGGGTGGAAACCAACCAAGAAGAGAAGCAACTAAAACAAAGGAGAAACTTCCTACTAGTAAGAAGAATCAACCAGTGGAATGGCTGGCTGGGATGTTGTAGGTGGCTCCATCACTGGAGGTTTTTAAGAAGAGATTAGATAACCATTTGTATGAAATGGTATAGGGCCTCCTGCCTGAGCAGGGAGTTGGACTAGGTGACCTACAAGGTCCCTTCCAACTCTATTCTGAATTAAATTGAAAGCCCAGTTTGAAACGTCTGCATTCTCTTAACTGTCAAGAGTTGAAAACCTGGAGAAGACATTTTGGATAGGAACCAAATGCTGGGACTCCTACCTAACAACCCAGCTGAAGTGGCATCTTTTCTTGGTGGGATTGAGTGTCCTCTGTGGTTAATAAGTGACCAAAGCAAAAGGTTAGCCAGTTACTCATTAAATGTGAGTAGTCAAACAGAAGAGTAAATGACTAAACAAGGACACTAGCCCATCGTCTGTGCCCGCCTGCCCACACACACAACACGTTCCTTTAGTGTGGGCAATTCCTTCACCTCCCTCTCTCTCTCTGGGGAATAGATTTTCAAACAAGAACAAAACAAACAAATGGAAACCAGCACTGAAATATCAGCACACAAATCAGATAAGGAGGGCGATTCTGGACTCAGGACTAACAGAACTTGGAACATCTGCTAAATATTAAAAAGTTTAACTCCAATGCTTTGTGATTCCACTTTAATGCAACATTTTGAATTCATTTTTTTCCTTCCTTGATGGGTTGTTTGAGGCTATGCAAGCTAACCAAAGGGATGGTTTGAAGATGCAAATATTAGCATCCTTTGGGCTTCTCCCAGGGTGAGTTTTATGACTCTTTTGGAAAACCATGCTTGGTGGAAATCTTTTGAGAAAGCCTGCCCTCCCTGCATACTTTCAGGAATGGATCTGTGATCCAAATCCTAGATTCCTTTCGTATCCTGATCAAGGAAGATGTGATGACCCAGGGCGTGGCACAAAGGCAACACAGTCAGATAAGCAATAAGAGTCCCTTATTTGTTCCCAATGTCCAGGTTACCTTCTGGCTGGAGAAAAATTATCCCAGAAACAGCCTTTGGCTGCAGAAAATTAAGTCCAAAACATGAGCAACACAAACTGTAATTCAAAGTCCAAACAAACCAAACTGCAGTAATTAGTTTGGCAGAGCAGAAGCAAGAATCTCAGGCTTGAAGGCACGGCAAAACTCACACAGGGAAGATAAGCCACAACAACACAGGGTAAAGTCATGTTTGCTCCCAGCAGCTATCACACACAGCCTGCCTTTCTTATCAACTGTCTTCCCAGCTGTGGCTAATGAAGGGAATCAGGGCCCTTTCCTCCCACATAAGCCACACAACTCACATTGCTCCCTTCTTCATTCCTCCCTGCGTGCCCTAGGATGAAGACGGGGTGGGCTTGGGTGTTCCTCTGAACTCCCTCTCCCTTGTTCTACCTCCCTCCTGCTCTGCCCAGCCGGACTTTGCTCTTCCAAGTTTCCTCCATAGCCAACGGAGCCACACTCCCATTCCCTATCAGCTGTCTGGCTTCCTCCTCGGATTCAGACTCCCACAGGCATTGTAGTAATAAAGGTAGCCCTTGAATTACAATAATTCATTTAATGACTGTTCACAGTTTACAACGGGACTGAAAAAACTGACAGACTTCTTTCACACTTATGACTTATAGCATCCCCGTGGTCATGTGATCAAAATTCAGATGCTTGGCAAGTGACTCGTACTTATGACGGTTACAGTGTCCCTGGGTCACGTGATTCCCTTTTGTGACCTTCTGACAAGCAAAGTCAACGGGGAAGCCAGATTCACTTAACAACCGGGGGACTCACTTATCAACAATCAACCAATGGAATGGAAGTTGCCCTCAGAAGTTGTGGGAGAGCCATCATTTGAGACCTTCAAGAAGAGATTGGACTGCCATTTATCAGAAATGGTGTAGGGTCTCCCGCTTGGGTGGGGTGGGGGGGTTGGACTAGATGACCTACAAGGTTCCTTCCAACTCTGATTATCTGTTTATCTGTTCAACTGCACTGATTCACTTAAAAACCTGTGACAAGAACTGGGGCAAAATTCACTAAACCAATGTCTCAGTTGTGGACGTAGGTCAAGGACTACCTGCAGTGTTCGCTATCAGCAGTTGCTCTTCTGTCCTAAGGACCAGCCCATAGATTTCCACTGTTCTCCTCTCCTCTGCCTTCTGTACATTCCACGCGTCAGGCACTGGACCCAGCTGTTCCTCCACTTCCTCATCAGCCACCTCCAAACCTGGGGGCTGTTGACTCTCCATCTGAGGGATAACAGACAGCCCAGGCTCTGCCTCTGCCTATGCCCCCCCTCTCTCTCTCCGCAGGCTAACAAGTTTGTCCAGTGGGAAGATGAATAGTCGTCCATTCATCTCCCACCCCCACCTGCCTTTTATCCCCAGAGCTAGGGTGGGGCCTCGTTAGCAGCAGTGGCTCTTCCATCCCAAGGACCAGCCCATAGATTTCCACTGCTCTCCTCTCCTCTGCCTTCTGTACATTCCACGTGTCAGGCACTGGACCCAGCTGTTCCTCCTCCTCCTCATCAGCCACCTCCAGACCTGGGGGCTGTTGACTCTCCATCTGAGGGCTGACGGACAGCCAAGGGTCCGCCTCTGTCTCTCTCTCTCTCTCTGACAGCTCCATTCCCTCTTCGCCCTCGGAGCTCTCAGGTTGCCTTGATGCTGATCTTGACTCCCACGCTTCCTCCTCCTCTGATTCGGCTGCTGGAGAGGCTGTCGGCCGACAGGACACAGCAGCACACATCCCAGGGAGTGTCATGTTTTGGTTAGGACATCAGGGCACACCCCCTACTCACTCTGAAGCCCCTACTTCATCCGTGAGTGTTTCCTTAACTCATTTGCGCATTTCCTAGAACCGTGAAGCCAAGGAAGACCTGCGCCTTTGGAAAGAAGCTACCCACAGATGCGGCTTCTATGCCCACCTTGGTCCTGCGCATCTTTTAGCCTTGGGATCTCAAACACAGCACCTCCCTAATTCCCTCCTGAAACCTGTCGGTTTGCCACAATGCACGAGAAACATCAAAAAGTCACTTATGAAGCCTATGTTGACCTACTCTTTCCAAGCCAGTTCTGTTCTGTCTCCTCTCGTCTCCTTACTTACTGAAATTTTGGTGAATATATAGATAAACAAGTAGAGAATTGCAAGGAAGATCTGAATCCTTTTGCCACCAAACCGTCTCTGCAAATACTCTGGCATGGTTGTAACCTGGGAAGGACGAAAAGGATGACATCTTTTACCAAACCGTAGCTTTGATTTGTTGGGGATATCTTGAATTTTATACAAAACAGCCCGGGAGACGAATTATTTCACACCCTTCCTCTACCTCTCAAATCTTCAACCTCCCCAGCAACCGAAGCCCCCGTTAGCCCCTATTTGGGTTGGCTTTCAATGCCTTGCTAGCTACCCCAAGTCACTCTGGAAAGTGGGTGGCCAAATACACTGATTAAAATAATTACAGGAAATCCTTGACTTGCAACGGTTTATTTAGGAACCAGTCAAAGTTACAACAGCGCTGAAAAAGTGACTTTGGACCATTATTCACATTTATGACCGTTGCAGCATCCCATAGTTACGTGATCAAAATTCGGATGCATGGCAGCTGGTTCATATTTATGATTTATGTAGCATCCTGGGGTCACCTTTTGACAAGCAAAATCAACGGGGGAAGCCAGATTCACTTAACAACCGGATTACTCACTTAACAACTGAAATGATTCACTTAACAATGGTGGCTAGAAAGGTCGTAAAATGAGACAAAATTCACTTAACAAATGTTTCACTTATAGCAACATAAATTTGGGGCTCCATTATGGTGATACGTCAAGGATTATCTCTGTAATTAAACGCCAGTCCCTATTGGGAGCTACAGTATGAAGCCTCTTGGAGTGCTGGAAAAGAGAAGGAAGGAGGGCTAAGGAAAAATACGTTGTGGGCATGTTCCAATAGTCCTCCTGTGCTACTGACTATGCCAACCACTGTCCCTTCCTCACCCCCACCCCAGCTGCAAAGCAGCCTGCAGAAAACACAGCCCTATAAATCCCTTAATCTAAGGTTGTTTTTTTTATTATTATACAAGGAGAAAGACCACTTGTGAAATTAGGAGCGGGCCAAATGCCCCCTTAGCTAGGGTGCATAACTAGCAATTCTCAAATGAA